TTATTATGGACAGACTTAATATAATTAAAAAATAATAATAATAAATTTAAATTATTACAAGTTTCGTGTTTATTATGGACAGACTTAATATAATTAAAAAATAATAATAATAAATTTAAATTATTACGAGTTTCGTGTTTATTATGGACAGACTTAATATAATTAAAATAATAATAATAATAAATTTAAATTACAAGTTTCGTGTTTATTTTAGCCTATAAATTTTTAAAAATACATCTAATACTTGGTATTTATTTTAGTCTATAAATTTTAAAAAATACATATATTTGATTGATTTATTACGGTTGCTTTACTTTACCTAAGCATTTGTCTTGACAGACCACGGACCATAGAGGTGGGGTAGCGAAGCTAAGAACGCTAGAAGGAGACCCGAATCATCAATTAGGTGGTAAAAACAAGAAATAGAACGATAAGCACATTTAACCTTAGCTTAGATTAAGTGAGAGAGTGCATCCTTTACAGTAAAAGCAAGAGAAATCCAGGCAAAATTGAGAAGAAAGTAAAGAAAAATACAGATTTTACAATGAAAGAAGCAAAGCTATTGTATCACTTGAGAAAGAACTTCCAAATGTCTCTGTCAGTCATCTCCTTCACCAAGTGAGCTCCAAAAACACCTTCCTCGTCGACCAAACTCCTCAAATGCCTCGCTCCGCTATTGAAACCGACGTAATTCTTCTTGGTCGCCAAGTATAAAACTCCATATGGTGGCCTCACACACTAAAGTTTCACCAAAACAGACGATTTTTCACAACGTGTTTGATGTTTGTAAAAACTATTCAAGTCGCTTTAGAGTTAGTTACCTTCTTTATAAGACTGTATAGTTTCTTCAAAGAGTTTAGTGAATATGGGATTTCCGCCATTAAAATCACATCGTATCCACCTTCTCCCTGATCGCTCTCACTCGCCCTCTCCCATGCTCGACTTCCCGATAGTTTCCTCGATCTCCTTGAGGAAGACTCGTGCCCAATGATGCTACCATCTTGACTGCTGCAACCATCCATAAAATCTTCTTCAGAGAAGCTCAAGCTCATTCCAGTAGGTCCTTCAAATCCATCACCCCTAACAACGGATAACACTGTTGGGAGCTCTTCCCAATCGCCCGCGTAAAAATGTACCGATGGGCTCAAACTGTGTCTGGACGGAGTTAAGGGACTCTCCGCCTGTCTACTCTGCCTGTCCCGAGCTTGTTCGAGATTCGCAAGGACGTTCGGTATGGTTGTGCATCTAACACTTTCTGCACTCAGGTCTTGAAAGTGCACTATGCTTGCTCCCTGTAACAAGATTGAAAACTCAGCTATAACCACACTTCCATTCCCTGTTTTAATACTATGAATAAGCCCAACCCCCAACCCCAACGCTAGCAGATATTGTCCTCTTTGAACTTTCCCTTTCGGGCTTCCCCTCAAGGTTTTTAAAACACGTCTACTATAGAGAGGGTCTAGCCCTACTCCGACTAGTGTCTCGCACTATCCGGTGACTGGCTCTAATACCATTTGTAACAGCCCAAGCCCACCGCTAGCAGATATTGTCCACTTTGCCCCATTACGTATCGCCATCAGCCTTATGATTTTAAAACGCGTCTACTTGGGAGAGGTTTCCACATCCTTATAAGGAGCGTCATTAGATCTTTATCAAGATCGCAGTATTGATCAATAACATCTAACAAAAGATTCTACTGCTGCTTCAGTCAACCGAACTTGCACTCGAGAACAACTTATTTAGCTAGTAACAGACGCAGAGCATACTATTAAAAAACGTTCGGATGGAGACGGATTAACGATGAGGTACCTTGAGGCAAGCAAAAACTCCAGGAAGTCCATAGCTACAACCCAGCTGCAAAGCACCAACCAAAGAGGTTAGCTTGAAAATCATAATGTGTATGATAACACGACACGAAAATGTTTCAAAATCTAATTTATCGTATAAATGGCATGCCCCGCTCGACCACAATGGATTATTACCTCAAGTACTCTTTTGCCCCTAAAGCTCAGTTGTCCGTCGCGAATCTCATGCTTAAGGACATTAACAAGATCAATGGAACTGTCCCAAGATTTCAGATACCCTATAAAATAAAGATAAGCTTCAAACTTAAAGACATGTATAATTATGAGTGTACGAGTGTAGAAAGCATAGATATACCTTCAGGCTTTGAAGATATAGACTCTGATCCATTGAAGCCAATTATATCGGCAACACTAACTCTACCCTGGAGACAAGGACACCATTTAGCACAAGTGAAGAACTGTCGGGTTTTCCCTCAAGAATTACCACTAGTGTCGAACCGAACTAGTGAAGTACCTTAAAGACATTGAGACCTTGCAAATCGACGTTCTCCCCTGCATATTTGTAGGGATGAGCTGTCTGCTCAAAGGAGAAGAAAGTGTTAATGGTATTCCCAAAAGTGGTTGGCAATAACAGGAAGAAAAGTACAGAAGAAATGCCTTTGAAGGGAGAATCTCCACAGCTGGTGAGGGGAGATGGACATCTCTCTCTGAAATGGAGGGAGTGCTCTGGCTTCCTTTATCTTGGGGCACCAAACCAGGCAAGCATTGCGCAAGTAATGATGGTGCTCTCATTGTACCTATATTACAAGCACCTATATGTAAATCATGTGGTAATGTATAGAGAACCAAAGAAAATCAATGTGATTTTCCAAGAATGAACCAAAAAAAGGATACCAATTGGCAAAAACCATCAAAATATCGTATGGTTGATCGAGGAAAGATCATGAATCATATCATACTTTTTCTATAACGGTCCAAGCTCACCACTAGCAGATATTGCCCTCTTTAGGCTTTCCCTTTCGGGCTTCCTCTCAAGGTTTTTAAAACACGTCTGCTAGAAAGGTAGAGGCTTCCTCTCAGGGACAACAAACATATATGGAGGAGGGATAGAGACAGTCTAAGGTATACTAGGATTAAATACTATGTACTTCATGTTTTCCTAAAAAGTATAGCAATCAGGTGAGCCACAAGAGTCACAAGAAAGGCAAGGAGCAAGGGATGTTTAACGTTCTAAACGTGCACCCATAGCTCGACTTTTGGATTGCAACTCTAAAAGCTTGTCCCATCAAGGCGAGCCACAGACTCGATTAGCAACTTTTGTTTAATGTCACTCTCCTCAAATATCTCGAAACATTGAGCTGAAGGTAAATAAACTAATGTCCATTGGAAAAACATTCGACCACCATGGGAAGACTCTGCCCCCTGATGGAAACCGACCAACCTTTTGGCGACGACCGTGGGATCGAAAGGCATTGAGATCTGAACCAAAACTAAACTCCCTCCAGGAGATGGCCACTTAGATGAAATCTACTGAACATTCCCATATATAATGTTTTGATAGTACTAATGATAAAACAAAACTCCCTCTAACCACAGCTACCCAAGCTTTGTTTATTTCAATCTTCTTCCAGCTTCATAATTTCCTAAAGAACACCTATTGTGTTCATAATCTTCTCTACCCACAGGAAAAACAAATTAAGAAGGAAATAAGTGTTGATCCATGAACAATCGAAATCCAATGTAAACGTAGAGGTTTGAAGATCTAAAGGGAAGAACAAAACCAGACCCACCACTTCAAATCCAATGAATACAGATTCAGCCAACAGTGAAGTTCAATCTCTGTATAATGAAAATCCAGCAATCAACAAGGCAATAATAAAAACTGATCTAAACAGTTCGATTACTCAACCAAAATTCCAAGAAATCAGGACCCAGTAAACAAAATTACCGCTCTAGAACATCAGAAGATCAAAAAGACAATCAAACCCAAATCTCCAAATCCATAAAGAACACGATCCAACAAATCGGACAGAGAAACAAAAACCCCATAAAATCAAAGAAAGCTACTCACCCACGGAGCTTAATCGCAATGGCAAAGGGAAAATCGAGCGGAATTATGAGACGATCGAGGACCCAGAAACGAGTTATAGTCAGAGATGTAAACTGGCATGAAGAAACTCTGCAATTTCACAGAAAAAGATATCGGTCTCCGATCAAAGTCAAAAGAGAATACCACGTCAAGAAAGAAACGTTCACAGCTGAACAGAGAAGCTTCGATTCAGACCTGCACTCCAAAGCGCTGAAGTATCCACAGGAGCCCTTCAACTTCTGGCTAATTTCGAATTTACCTAGATGGGTTGAGTCATGGTTGACTGTGTAATAGGGGCGTAATTAATTGGAAAAGGTGAGGGTATTTTCGGTAGAGGAGTGTGATTGGGGTGGGAAAGTCCACGTGTGGAGGTTGAAAAAAATTTGAGAACGGAAGAAAGCGGCGATTTGGTCGGCCATTTCATCGGTTTCTTCACCAGCAGTTGTACGGAGATTCCCTGACTTTTGCTTGCCTGCTTGCCACGTGTCAAATGATTAGTGGACTAACATTCTAATATTATTTATTATTAATCTCTATAAAAATTTAATTAATATCATATAAGCTAACTTAAAATATATTATGGAAGAAGGATTATTAGGTTTCGAGGCCTTTCTATGAATAGAATCATTTAATGACATCTAAGATGTATTTCCTTCCCCGAGAGACCCTAATGGAAGCTGGGTTTTTTTCCTTTTCTGATTTGGGCACAAAAACGGAATATCTAAGGGATCTCCCTAATCCTCAAGCGGAACTTTCGATGAACCCTACTCGAGAGTATTGGCAATATGATCAATTAAAATAAAAGAGGTGAGTCTCGAAGGACAAGCCTGTCCTTTCTTTTCATGTGTTTTTCTAATTGCTAACTGAGACGTTTAAGATGTTAAAGAATATGATATAGAGACCATCCAAATATCTATCCAGCTAGCAACCTCATGAATTGATTCAAATAATTGATAATATGATATGCAGCTAGCAACCATATCAGAAAAGCACAAAAATTCCATCTCCATTCCTTTTTCGTTCATATTCATAAGCCTTTGATTAGTATGCAAGTTCATGTTTGATAATGGTGTCCAAAGTGATTTGAACGTTGAAGGATGAGCTTCAAAAGCCACACCATGACAAAAAGTGAGCATCTTCGTTCTTTCTTATCGAACATGCGTCATCCAAACTTTTATATAAGCTAGAAGATCGTAGGTATATAAGACGACGGTTAACACATTTCGACCTGATATAAGGCTACGAGGGCTTACCCTTATAAAGATACGTGGAATTTCCATTGTCTTAAACAACTTCATACGTAGATTGTTCTAAATTCTGATGCAAACTTGAAACGCCAAACCCTTGTAGTTTTAAGTTCTTAAATTCTTGAGGGATTGTCCTCTTTCAGTGGACAAGCTGGCTTAATTGTCTGCTAAGTGTTCATTCTAGCACATGCACGAGAAGTTTCAAATTTCACTGAAAGATTGAGGCACCAGTCAATCAGGGTGAGTTCAAGCGTTAGAAATTTTCTCCTCAAGGTTGGGTTTTGGCTTTTGGTGCTGAAGTTTAATCCAAATGATGCTTAGCTTTTGAAAAATGATGATGTTTATATGAAAGTGCAGAGGTGCAGCCTTGCTTGGGATTGCTGCGGGATGAGCTGATAGGGTGTGATTAAATTTAGAGATGTATATGGGTGGAAACGAAGAAGCCGTATTCGTTCTGATCTCTGCTACCTATTTCAATTTTGTCATCGTAAAATTTTTCATTTATTTTTCTCAAAATAGAGACTCATTCCAGTGATGAGTTTTTCTCTAAATTTTTAAAGAAATATTAGTTTTTTAAAAAATAATTTTCATTTATCAGATATCTTAATAATCCAGTCAAATTTCACAAGTAACATATAATACGTAGTTCTAGCAGCATAATTTATTCTACGAGACTTCAAAAAATATCTTCAACAAACATCTCAAACAAATGAAATAAATGAAATATATACCTATAAAGCAAGGTGAGGTGAGATCAGGAATGAAGAATATAATTCCCTTCTGACCCCATTTAGTTGACAGGGAGAAAACTCTAGTTAATCTCTATTCGGGTTATTGGGCAAGACAGAAGACCAAATATAATCTCTGTTTGAGGCAGGTCTCCATAAGTTAAATAGACATCTCTAGCTAAATTTTGCAGAAGATGAATGGAACGGACAAACTATAAGTGAACCAAATAGTCAAATTTGCAAAATCTATACCATGGTGCCAAGCTATTAGCAAACTTAAATAGGGATTTGCCAAGTGTTGAGATGTTGGTTTTGTCGGCATAGGATAAGAAAATAAGTCGGTGGATCCAAAGGTTTAAGCATGAGACTTTAGACAGATATATAGATAAGTTGCTTCCTATTGCAAAACATGGAAATTTCCCCATCCTTCTAAGAGTATTTGTTAAGCGGCAATTCCACACATCAAATAATAACAAAACTTGGACCATAAGAAACCAGCCTTTATGAAAACTAAGGTAAACCCTTGTCCAACTAGCAGCTCATACATATAAATATGCAACATATTCTGAACAATCTTTCTGGTCTAACATTTTTGGTGTGTTGAAAATTTCCTGAATGCTCAAAATAATTAGCATTTAAGTTTGTTACCTCCTCGTTTGCATTACACAAATAAATACCAACAGAAATATTGCTCATTGCATAGAGGTCTTCCCCAGTCTCGCCCCTGTTAATTGAAGGCTCTTGCTGCCGTTGCTGGAAAATATACTGTGCTCCCTCAAATCTGTTCTAACATAATTTGCACTGCAAAAGAATTTAAGATCAGATATGCATGCATGCTTGCATCTTCTTCAGCAACGGAGAACTCAAAGCCGATGAATAATACATAACAGAGCTTGGGGTGCCAAAACCCTAAACCCTAAACATAACAAAAGAAGCAACTCTATGCATGCTAAACATTAACACTCACTTCTTGATTAGAAACATACTGCATGCGTTTATTCTGTAGTTTCTCCTATTATTTATGTAACGACTCAAGCCCACCGCTAGTAGATATTGTCCTTTTTATGTTTTCTCTTTCGAGTTTTCTCTTTTTAAAATGCGTCTACTAGGGAGAGGTTTTCATGCTCTTATAAAGAATGTTTTGTTCTCCTCCCTAATCGAGGTGGGATCTTACAATTTAAAATTGAGTTTCGTTAATAACAATATTTTGTTTAATTTTTATACCCTTTATAAATACTTTTGAAGTCAATATCAAAACTGTGATCAAAATGGATTGCTATATGAGACTTCGAGCTATAAAATCAATAAACACCCACATGTGATATATTGCAATTCTATCATTGTGTTCGTGTCAATAATAATGCAGGAATTTAATCGTTGAGTGTTGAATTAGCATGTTAATTGGTGTGTTCCTGAATGCACAAATATTAGAACCATAAAACAGATTCATCTACTCTATATGTTCAGTATAATCACTCACTCCTAGTCTATAATATTTGATAAAATCGATCAAATGAAATATATTTTATGTATATAATGTTTTGAAAGAAGGTGCAATCATCAGCGAAGAATAATGGAAAAGTAAATATTACCTTGCATAAAGCCGAAATGAACTAATGCTTTAGACTTGGATCTGTAGCCTATGAGTTTGACTTTTCAATACCCATCTGTTTTGTCCTAACAAGTTGGGGTATTCTTCTTCATAACCATGAATTTCAAGCTTTTCATTTGAGCAATCCTCTGCAAGCTCAGAGTTGCAGCCATGGTCAACAATGGCTGATTGTTTAACTCCTCTCAACCCTTTCTCAACGGCTGTATTTTTATCAACATTCTCGCTATTCATTTCATAAACATCTTCCAAACTACAAGGCTTTGCCACTGCCAAAATATCCACCATCAACCGTTTCTTTTGTTTCCCTTTTCGTCTCCTGTCATTTTTCCTCGACATTCTCGAGCAATCCACCGACCAAATTGGCTGTTTCTCAACATCGAGACATGAATGTGAAGTTGTATTCGTTTGAGGACCCAACATATCAAAAGAAACATCATGGGATATCCCTGATGAATAACAGATTTCTCTGGAATTGTTTGATTCTGTAGCAGCTGAATGAATGACAATGGGATCTTTGTTGTCTGCCTTAAAATCAATCGAGTGGTCATCTTCAGATGATTGAATGACACTACGAGGGGGATGAATTGGTGGCAAAACATTGGTAACACCATGCTTCTGACACAGAAGCAGGTACTTGTCTGGAAATGGCCAGCAATCAAATATGTTCTTTTGACGACAAGAAAGGGTATATTGTCTGCAAACAGATGATCAGAAGCGACATAAAAGCCAAGTCTTGTCCAAAATTGTTAAAAACTAGCTTAGATAATATAAATAATGGATTCTGAAACAAATAAAAGAAAAAAATAATTCTTAAGTCTCGAAAAAAAAAAAAAAAAACACATTTCGATTTTAAATATTAGATTTCGGTCTATAGGCTATAATTTCCTTTAACCATGAGCTAAAATCTAACTAAAAATTATCTAAAACGCTACTAAACCACAGCCCAGTCTATGATATACTATATCATAGACTGTGCACTGGTACCCCAAACCATTCTCGAAGTGGACCTGACTTCCGTCCAAGATCCCAACAAAGCTGCAATGCATAAAGAAACCCAATTCGATAGCCCTAACTTCGTTGTCCAGAGGATATATATCACTCTGACCAAGAACATACTTATCATGAGCTGATAGGGGATCAACGTATCGAGGATCCTCGGACTGAAGTAAGGAAGTGAGTGTTAGGAATCACGGATCTCCACAATGGTATGATATTGTCCACTTTGAGCATAAGCTCTCATGGCTTTGTTTTGGGCTTCTCCAAAATGCCTCATTCCAATGGAGATAGTATTCCTCACTTATAAACCCATGATCTTCCACTAAATTAACCAACGTGGGACTCCCAATCATCCTCAACAATCCTCTCCTCGAACAAAGTACACTATAGGTCTCCCCTGAGGCTTAACCAACGTGGAACTCCCAATAATCCTCAACCGTGAGTACCACAGTGGACTGTGGTTAATCCTTTTAGTACAGACCCTAACGGATTAGACCATGTTCAAGTGACTATATAGTCTATACTAACAGAGACCACAGTGGACTGTGATTTATATATATATAAAAAAAATTTAAGAAAATGGATAAAGGAAGGAAAACAAACCAGAGTAGCTAGACCAGCACTAAGTTTCTCAACTTGCAACGAGCTGAGGAACTTCTTGACCATATGATAACAACAGAAACAATTTATTTCATCGTATTGGCATCCATTTGGATCGTTAAGTTGTGCAATGAAACCAATATTTTTCAAACAGAGAAAAAACTAAACAAAATTGCCTCGTTTGATTCCGTTTCTAAGAACAATAAAAAGGGGAAATGTTCATGAAACTTTAAATGTGATCAAGGTTAAATCCCAAAAAATAAAGCTCATGCTCAAGATGGAAAGAGTAGCAGATGAATGCAGCGTCCAAGAACATAAAATAATGGTAAAATTTACACCTCAGAACTTTAGAATGCAGAATTTCACCTAATCGAGAAACGTTTCGCATAATTTAGTTCGTGATTTTCATCTGCTGGATTGATCATATTCTTCGTAGCGCCTGTTAACGCCAAATCTTCACATCAGTATGCGAATTCATAACTTTCAGCAAACATCTCAGATTGCGGAGCAAAAAAACATAATCAAATTACGAAAAACCACACAGCACTCAGCTAAATGAAAAACGAACAAACAAAAACACAAGAGCGTAAACCTTGACGAACGAATGGCTCATGGAGAAGTTCCCGAGCAACAAAAACCTCATAAAATTACTGGTGATACAATAAATAGTTCAGTTCCGTAAGAATAACGAAAACGAGAAGCATTCCCGATGAAGTAGGGCAACAACGAAGATCATCGACGAATGCAATGAACAAAAACGACAATCTACATTGGTATGGTAACGAAATTGTTGAATGTTAGTATTACCTTAGCAATTGGTGAAGTGAGAGAGTGAAATTTTTGGAGAGTGAGAAAGTGGAGCAGGAGATTTTGAGTTGGCGTGTTCGTTCTCGTAGTTTCCAATGGAAACTTTCAAAATTGTTTGCGATGAAGCAGAGGAAACTCTGTCGCCATTTTCGTCTTCTGTGTGATTCTTCAAGCTTCAATCGTCAACGATGGAGTCTCAGCGGGAGAAATCATTCACCATTCCACACACAACTCAATCATTTCAGATCATTTACCTAATGCACTTTCATTACTTTCATCATTCTTTCCTAATACTTTAATTTTTAATTATTTATAAATTTAAAAAAAAAAAAAAAAAAAAAAACATATAAAACACGTAGAAAAGGGAGGGAGGTGGATAATTAAATATTATTTTGATTCTAATAATTTTTTAGAATCCATTTAAAGAAAAATACTCCTAAAAGTTACTAGAATTTAAATGAATATTTTAAATTTAAAAAATAATTATTTTTATTTACTTCTTTCCGATCCTATTTTAGAAATTTTATAATAGCTATCGAATTTTAATTTAATATTGGTATAAATTTCCATTGATAATTGTTTAACACTAACTTTACGATCATATTTTTGCATGACCTTCAAGAAAAAAATCTAATAAAACCAAAACCTTATAAAGTAACCACAAAACCCGTTCTCATAAGAATGTCCATACAACGCGGGAATGGAAAATTACGTCACCGTCCCTATCATTTATCTCAATCTTCACTTTTTTTTTTTTTTTTTTTTTTTTTTTTTTGTATTTATCTTAAATGATAATTTCTGTGTATTAAAAAATGTAAATATATTGTAATAAATTTAATAACATTTTATCAGAAATAAAAATAATATATATATATATATATATCTTAGGTTTGATGCAGCCGCGGGCGGGGGCGGCACGCCACCATATGAACCATGCGGGCGCAACCGTCCTTGGCCAAAGCCATTATCGCATCCGTATTCCTCCTTATATGGAACGACGTCGTTTTACCGTTGGTTTCAGGTGAGCTTGGAGCACAGTGGGTGTGAGAGATAAATGCTAAATTCTGCGGAATGACTTGCATACAATTTTGTTACTTTCAAAATTTTCACTATTCCGATCACAAAATCCAAAAACGCATTTATCGAATGCATGTTCACTAAACTCGATGAAACCGAAAACATGAAACAAAATCTAGATGTGAAGAACAGACCCTAATTCTGTATAAGATTGATAATATTGGGGATAAAAGCAACAAATTCCTACGTCTTCATGAGAAAAATTCCATCTCGGCTCGCTTCAAAACACCGGTTACCCTCGTAAAGAATTCGGGTTCATTTTCCTTTATGTCATCTAGGGTGGCTGACTCGTGTTCATCAGCCTGCATCAAAGAATCAAACTTTTTATCGATCATAAAAAGCTACTTATGACTCACATAGGTACTTTAGAACCAAGATGAAATTATTAGGGTCCAAAATGGACGTTCGGACCAAAACAAAATGTACATTAAGTATAAGAACCAAAATGAAATAAGTACGAGAGTTTAAGACCAAAATAAAATTTAAATCGAATTTTTATTCCACAATTCTTTTTTCCATTGAAAATGAAAACAAGGTAAGGTCGGTTTCACCCAATTTACTTGCATAAACAAACAAGTGCAAATGACAGCGTGGGTAGTAAGCGGACCATGGCTGCTTTTTGCACTTTGCAGTAGTAAAAGTAATCATGCAAAACAAAGAATTTTATCGGGAAATGCTTAGTCAGTTTCACAATAAGACGTTCTTGTTAGTTTAACATGATTTTCCATAATGATATGATATTGTCCACTTTGAGCATGAGCTCTCATGGCTTTGCTTTGGGCCTCCCAAAAAGCCTCACACCAATAGAGATGTATTCCTTACCAATATATCCATGATCGATCATCCCTAAATTAGCCAAGGTGGGAGATTCATATAACGAGTAAAGCTGAATTACCTCTTTGAACCTCAAAAGAATCAAGTTAGCCACGGATGCTGGTTTTGCTCTGTCCCACCTAATTTGTTCACAAAAAATGTCAGCACCAGAGAAATTGATCTATCAATGCGATTTTATAGAATTCCGAGTAAAATATATGTTTATCTTCCTCAATAAGATATATAAAACCCAAAAGAAATTACATAATTTTAAAAATGGCGATGGTTATAATGTGTTCATGTTCAAAGAAACGAGAAAAAGTGTGGCCCAGATACCTTTTTATTTGAATCCACAACAAATATTATGGCATATTAGGCAAGAGTGTAACACCACCTGGAAAGCTATTCATACCTCACAAGCATTAATTCATTAATAGCTCGCCACATTCCCCGTCCAACATCTTTTGCGAATTGGTCTCTTGCGCTTCTTCCATGCCAGAGCTCTTTTGCAACAAACATCACTTCTTCAACATCTACCTACAGTAAATGACACCAGAAGACACAGATACATTATTAGAATGCTAAGAATTGGAATCCAACAACAATAGAATGATAGGTTGTAGTTGACAAAAAAGATGCCATCTATTGATGAGTCATTCAGACATGGAAACTAAAAAGTGAATAACTGGAATAAAAGTACTTCTCACACTCAAACCCATCGTGAACATGTTCAAGTCAGAAAACGTCATCACTCCACTTATTGATGATTTTAAATTAACCTAGAAACTAGCATGCATCCATGCAAACAAATCCAAAAGAAAACAAAAAAGGACAATGGAAACTTGAAAATAACAAGTACAAAATTTGTGAGATCCCACCTTGACGGGAGAGGAGAACGAATGCCAGCGAGGACGCTGGACCCCAAAAGGAGGTGAATTGTGAGATCTCACATCGGTTAGGGAGGAGAACAAAACATTCTTTATAAGAGTGTGAAAATGTCCCCTAGGCAGACGCATTTTAAAAACCTTGAGGGGAAGCCTGAAAGGGAAAGCCCAAAGAGGCCAATATATGCTAGCGGTGGGTTTGGGCCGTTACAAATGGAATAAGAGCTAGACACCAGGTAGTGTGTCAGCGACGACGGTTAGCCCCGAAGGGGGTGGACACTGAGCGGTGTGCCAGGAAGGACGCTATGCCCCGAAAGTGGGTGGATTGTGAGATCCCACATTGATTGGAGAGGGGAACAAGTGCCAGCGAGGACGCCGGACCCCGAAAGAGGGTGGATTGTGAGATCCCACATTGGTTGGGGAGGAGAACGAAGCATTCTTTAAGGGTGTGGAAACCTCACCCTAGCAAACGCGTTTTAAAAACCTTGAGGGGAAGTCCGAAAGAGAAAGCCCAAAGAAAACAACATCTGCTATTACAAAATTAAATAAATCTTCTGATCAAAGGTAAAATTAAATAAATCTTCTGATCAAAGTTTGCACACCTGGACTTGCATGGCAGTACCATACAATGATTCCTCATGCTCAATGAGTCGCTGATGAAGCAATCTATAATGTTCGATGTCCAAATTAACGACAGGCTCTGTTTCCACTTGTAGCCCTGCTAGTTGTGTCACAACATATGAGGCCATTACCTGTCCAAAAATTGCAGGGATGGTGCCCAGGACAGGTATGATGCGAACTCTGAACCCAGGTACTATCTGATATCAGAATAAAATTTCAGAATGTGTATTCACAGAAATATTTTCTTAGTGTAACACCTACCCACTATCGTTCAACACTCAAATATATTCATTCATTGTCAAGTCAAGAATTGTAAAACTTGAAAGCAAGTACAGAAAATAGCCCCAAGGATGCTGGTCTTCACCTGATAATCTGACGGATTTTCGGCTTCTCCACCTGGTCCTTGGAATGGAAGCAGCTTGGCTTTGGGTTTTTCTAAAGAGAATACAACAGGAATGCCCCCTTCAATGCCATAACCCTTCCGCAAACGGTGCCTCACCTACAATTAACAAATAGCCATGACCTAAATTCTCAAAAAGGAGGTTTAAAATGTCGCTGCATTATAATATAATTAACAGGAAAATTGTAAAATGGCGTACTAATAAGTAATAACAAAACACAAGAAAAAGAAGTTGTTATCTACTTATCACGAAAATTATCTTTTCAAATGCTTTTAAGAGTTTCACTTACAAAAATTATTCTGTCTTTCACTTACTAAGTGACTCTCTAAACCTTCTAATTGATTTCCAAATACTAAAGTAAAAGAGAGAGTGGTTTAGAAGTTTATATGGGCCAAAATAAATGACCAACTATCTTCTACATTAAGAGTTCAATTTAACACGTGTTTCATAAACAAAAAACTTCTCTGATGCAGCCTTCTAAAGAAGGAAACTGGCTATTAAAAGATTTAGCTTAAAAAAAATTCTCGGCACATGCAAGAAACATTACAGCTCTAGATAATGGGTCATTTGTTGACTCTCTTAAATCAGCCACGCGAATTCTTGTTGGGTCAGCTCGAGCCCCAGCTCCTGTTGCTGATAATACTTTCAAGCCCCTACGTACACATGCAGCAAGAAGTGATACCTATCACATATGATATACGAAGACGGTTATGGTAAATAACCTCAATAAATAGTGAATTAATGCTTCATTTACATTTCTGAGTCCACTAATTTTCTAAATACCATCATCCTTATTTATCACCTCTATATATCAATTTGAAATCGATATTAAAACCACTGCTAAATATTTAAAACTAACTTAAAAAAAAAATAAGAAGAAGAAGATTTGTTACAGCCTAGCAGATAAATAGTCACCTTTGTATCAATATTGTCAATGCAGTCTAAAACAAAATCAGGTTTCCCAGAAAGAATTTCTTCTTCAGATGTTGCGTCATATAATAGCACTTTTGCTTCTACTTGACACTCCGGAAAGATGGATAGAAAGTGCTCCTTCAGGCACTGAGCTTTTGGGACACCTACATCTGCTCTTGTTGCCACGGCATGTCGATTTAGAGAAGAAAGTGATACCTTTTCAAGCAATTATCAAATAAGTATGCATGCTACAAGAGAGAATATAAATGCATTGTTTTCTTTCTCATACATTTGAATGTACATATAATGTACTGACAATCAATTTATATAACGAAAAAGGGGAAGGGGTTCATAACATTCTAAAATACATGAACTATATACAAGTATTTTTCTCAAATTCTCTTCTCTTTACCTACTGGGAATTGAACCTGTAACCAAGGGTTAGACTAACACTTAGACCATCCTCTAAGTCAACAGACTACGAGATTGGTCGGTAACCATATAAAAGTATTATATCAAATATAAAAGCTAATGAATGCTAAAACTTGACATGAAGATGACTGAAGCCGTCTGCA